TGGTGATCATACTTTTGTCGCAGCTTTCTTCTCCCCTCAAACATTTCGTTGGTGGTACAATTGTTCCCTTATCAGATTATCTGATTTCCAAAGAGGAGGATCGTACATTACCTTTGATATGCTGCGCAAGTTTTTTGATATCCCTCTTCGTGAGTACCATCGTTACCGACAGATTAGACACTTTTTTAATTCACATTTTGGCCTTATACCATCCTCCCCGATTTCCTTTTTTTTGAACGTATCAGCCGTGACTCTCCCAGAGGTAGGGGTCTTATTTCTGATCTTTATCATCAATCTTTGACCTGTCTTTCTCATACACCCCCTTTATACAGACAAAAATGGGAGGAGGATAGTGGTATCACCTTTTCGGATGAGGATTAGGATTCCATGGTGGATAACATACGTAAGTGCTCTAGATCTCTTTCTGTTCGTGAGACGGGTCTTAAGGTTTTAACCAGATGGTATTACACCCCATCAAGACTACATGTACTGTTCCCACAAACGTCCCCCTTCTGTTTCCGGGGCTGTGGCCTTACAGGAACTTTGGTTCATATATTTTGGGATTGCCCGACCATATCTTTGATTTGGTGCAAGATATTTGAGGTGGCTACCTCACTGGCGGGTACCCAGATACGATTGTCTATGCAGACCTGTTTATTGGGGGCTCATATCCAGGGGGTCTCTGACGCCATTATGAGATTGATACATACTAAATGTATTGCCACTTTATGGTCTATTGCCTTACATTGGAAGTCTAATACTGTACCCTTGACCTCTGTTTTACACAGAATTGATACTGTAATGCTCATGGAACGCATTCATTATACCCTACTGGATAAGATGCACTTATTTGATAAAAATGGGAGTCATGGAGGGATTATAGACATTTATTGCATGATTAACTACATTCCCAGTGAAAGTTGAATGGCATATACTGTTGACAGATGTATCATTTAACCTACCTTATCATTTACACATTTCATGTGCTTGCTATCTATTTTTTTTTTCTATTCCTTTTCTTTCTTACGTTAATATACTTTTCTGTAATGTACTATTCAAAAGTGCCTTGTTTTTGCTGAAAATTCTATTTGAAAATGTACTGTTGTTCTACAGTCTACTTTTACACAATAAAATCGTTTGTAAACAAAAAAACAAAACATTGCAACAAGCAAACAAATGAATACCTCAAAGAAGTCCCGAGTTTTCGGTGACGTAACGCGTAGGTACGCTATACGCAGCGTCCGGTGCGCGGTGACGCACTTTTGGCGTCGGTTGCCATCTTGTTATACCCAGGAAGTCCCACGCACATGCAGTACACCCATACATCGGTGAGGAAGAGGGAACTACTTAAAATGTGAGTGGCATTTTTACTACTGTCAATAAAGGAGTTATTGGTACAAAGAAATACTGCACTATAGAGGATCTTTTTTTGGCTCACTGTGTTGGTGAGCTACTACCCTACAGAAAACTTCATATCTGGGGAAACGGGAGCCCTATAAGAGACCCACTACATGAGGATTGGTAAATAAAATCTTTAAAAATCATACAATGTGATTTCCTGAATTTTTTTTTTTTTTATTCAGTCTCTCAGAGTTGGAATGCACCTACAATGTGAATTTCAGGCCCCGCCATTATTTCTAAGTGGGAGAACTTGCAAAATCGCAGGGTGTTCAAATACTTCTGTTCCTCACTGTAAGTAGCCAGCACAATATTGCAGGTTACAATACATAAACATAAATACAACAAAAAATACACAAACAGTGCATCGCTAAAACACACTCTAAAATATACATATATTTTTTTTTATATAGCAAAAAGTCCAATCCAAAGCTTTTTGTATGTAGAAAAACAACAAGTTCATCAGCCAAGACCCGACAGATATCGGATAGGTTCCCAGGAAACCACCAAGAGGAAAAATCCTTCACCAATCACACTGCCTCTCACTAGATGATATAGACCCCCAAAAGAAAGATCAATATGCTCTGTGTGCTTCCTGGAAGTGAACAATGGACTGTATATAATCCTTAAGGATCCTGGTCTTCAATACAAAGCTTATGGATAGCCCTAAGTATTGTCCTCATAGAGGATAATCCAAATTAAAAGGAAAGAGGAATCCTCATAGTGCAGTAATTATTAAATTTTTAATGCCTTAAATGTAGTATTAAATACACATAATATATTAAAACAGCATGTCACCATATCCACAAAACGACTTGTTTCCAACCATTACGATGGCAGCCACATTTTGGTGCGTGATGACGTCACACATTCTAGCTCCACACGCGTTTCATTGTCAGGGACGTAGATTGAACAGTACTGATTGGCATTTCAAGGCTTTGGATATCTTTTATATCCTATTTCATCTTTATGAAGTTATCTTACCTTGTTATGCAGGTCTTTTCACAGTTCTTTTCTGCTCTCCATGGCTCAGTATCTAGCCTGCTCAGTGCATCCACGTGAGAGTTAACAAACTCATTGACTATTTACACAGACACTAATTGCAATTTAAAATGCTAAAGAGTTGGGAAATTAACCTCTAATTGCTATTTTAACCCTTATGTGTCTGTACCAAGGCCAAACATTCCAGGGTATGTAAACTTTTGATCATGGCTATTTGGGTGATTTCTGTTATCATTATGATTTAAAAAGGAGCCAAACAACTATGCGATCTTAAATGGCTATCACTATCCTTAAATAAATAACTTTTTGGCATGAGCAGTCTTATTTTCCATATCAATGCCAAAATTTCATGATTTCTGCCAATTTTTCTAGCACAGCTGTACATCATTTTATTAATGAACAATACCTTCTTGGCTGTGTTTCTGTCCTTACTAGGCATACATCTTCCAGTTCCTGGTGGGATTCTCATTGAAGCTGCTGAAGATTTATTTTTAAACCACACCCATATGGTTACATCCACTTTTCACCATAGCTTGCTATGCACACCGTAATCCATCTCTTTAACAATTGAAAGGTGGTTAGCAAGAGTCATCACTTTGCAGGTAATAAGTCACATATAGCCTATAAGGACTATTGCTAAACCCAAGAATGGACATACAGGTCTGCTATGATGCACCTTGTTTCATTGAGTTAGGAAGATTTTCTACCCTTCCAGAGAAGGTATGAGAAGCATTATGTACAGGGATTAGTTTGGCTACGACAAATAAAAATAATTGCCTTTATTATCAAATCATCAAAGAGATCAGATTTGTTTGCCATAGAATAGGAAAACAAGAAAAGTAAAAATATGCTTTGGTGAACAACCAATAAATAGATCAGTGTGGATCAATGGATCAGTGTGTCCTGTTTTATGTATAAAAGATTTTGGACAAACCTGAATGTACAAACCATTTTACAGGAATAACTCCAAGCAGACGTTTATTCAGATGATTCAATGTCTACGCTGTGTAAAGCAATATTTGTAAATTCGTTAGTCAGTGGTACACTGACCATGTGTAGCTGTGGAGGACACCACCCAATATCATGAGCACTTGAATGTCAGTTCATTAAATATTTTTACATTTAGCTCACATTTACGTCTCTTTTAGCTGAATGCTCAAAATGTTCAATAAGCCCAATAATAAAATGGGATTGAATTTCTAACTACAAGATAGCCTTTTAAATAGCATAATCCTTAACTGTATGCTGGAGAATCCCTGAGTCAACATGTTGCGGTAAATTGGCCGTTTCTTTTTGATTAGGCTTCCAAATCACCATAAACTGGCCTTTTTTATGCGCCACACAAGGCACAGATGCTTCATATCAGTGTTCTGTTGGTCATTGTGCATTGTATATCTGTATGTAATTAGTCCCACCCCGATGTTCATCTGTTATGAACTGCACAAGTTTTAGATTAACCACTTGCCCTCCAGAGGACTGACCCCCCTTCCTGACCAGGCCATTTTTTTGTGATACGGCGTTGCGTTATTTTAACTGACAATTGTGCGGTCATGCAATGCTGCACCCAAATGAAATTTATGTCCTTTTTTCCCCACAAAGGGATCTTTCTTTCAGTAGTATTTGACCACCTGCGCATTTTTTATTCTTTGCGGTATAAACAAAAGACCAACAATTTTGTGAAAAAAAAAATATGTTTTTACTTTTTGCTATTAAACATGTCCATTAAAAAAATGTAAAAAACCAAATTTCATCTTCAATTTAGTCCAAAATGTATTCTGCTACGTCTTTGCTAACAAAAATCCCAATAGATGGAAATTAATTGGTTTATGTGTGAAAGTTATAGCGTCTACAAATGGCGGTATATATATACTAGAATTTTTTTTTTTTTTATACTAGTAATAGTGGTGATCAGTGACTTATTACGGGACTGCAGCGGGCATTCTGACATGGGGGGGAGAGAAATGACTGTCACTGAGATCCCCAGTGACACTAATACAGTGATGAGTGCTAATAAAAAGCACTGACACTGTACTAATGGCACTGGGCAGGAAGGGGTTGACATGTGGGGCGATCAAAGGGTTAATTGTGTTTTTACTGTTTGCTTCACTGTGTCAGCACATTGCTTTGTAATTGCAAAGCAATATGCAGGAGCCGACAGGGGAGAGGTATGTATTGTTTACATACAGGTTTCCTCACAATCAGTGATACTCGGCGATTGCCGGGTGCCGGCGGGGAATCTCTGGCTGAGACCCGGTGATTGACAGCTGAAGCCACCAATGGCGGCATGGGTATGGCGCGTGCGCCCCCTACCCGGAAATGTATGTATACATGATCTTGCGCAGTCCTGCAGCGGTATTTCTGCTATAGGGCGGCGGGGGGGGAGAAAGCGGGTAAAGTGTTGATAAACCCAGGACCCTGCATTCACTATATCTGGTCTCCCACAGTACACACAAAATGGAAATATGGAAATATATTAGTAAATGCAAAATGCTAAATACCTTTACTCCGCAGCAGTTAGAACAGTCTTGTGACTGCTATCAGTGTTCAGTAGAGCACTGGTTAAAGTGTATAGGAGGAGTTTTCTCTAGGAGGATGCAGAACCCCTGACCTCTGTCTGGGCAGTGCTGATTGGCCCTGTGCTGATCACATGCACTCTCCCAAGAAGAAAAAAACCTCTCTAGCAATCCACACTAAACTGAGCATGTGAATGACTACGGGTTCAGTCTGTCTTACCAGGAGAACAAGAGGAGGAGCAGAGAAGAAAGGCTCCAATGGCCTTATTACACAATGCAGAGGTTCCACAGCGAGTATAACAAGCATGCTTTACTGCATATACAGACTGATTTTACTGTTGTGGGGTTAGTAACACTTTAAAGCTTTCTATGTTCTGCAAGATGTCATTTGGATTGAGCTGCTGTTTGCAAGCTACTGAAACTGTAAGGTAAGCTATTTCACCATAACTGGATCAGTTATAGAAATCACATTTTCAGTGCTTAGATTGTGAAAGCAGAACAGGTAGCATTCAAAATTACTGAACTGCAGTTCTTTCAATGTCCAAAGTTGCTGATCGATATTGGATAACAATAGTCTGCTCCGAGCACAACATAGCCCTGAATAAGCATTCCCAAAGAAGAAAATGGGGAAGTACAGAAACCCCTTTCCAATTGATACTGTTTCTCCACAAATCAATACTGTCTGAGCATGGGTCTCTCTCCCTCCTCTAAAACCCCCTTCATACTTTGTGTAGCTGGAACACACCTTCTTGCTCACTTGAAGGGGCTGCCCTATGTTTGACAAACATGCCAAAGAAGCTCCCACACCTTTTTGGGTGTGGAGCATCGCAGTTTTTCAGCATGTATTTTGGCATGCAGAGAAACACATGTCCCCTAATCACTTTTGGGGTGCCATTAAGAATGAATGGCACCCTAACAGCATTGTGTACTATGCGGTGAATTTAGTGTGATCCAGAATGACAGGCAGATTCCTGCAATTCTGCATCGCTCTGATGTGAACCGGGCCAAATTCCTAAATAGGACCTTCCAATTTTTTGGATTGCTCTGCTTTTAGGAGAAAGTTGCCCAACAGGCACTATGAGATGAGCCAACTGTCTAGCCATTCACTTATCTTAAAGGCCAGATTGGCTACCCACTGATATTATACAGTGTTTGCCAGATTTGGTAAAAATCCATCTTACCTTTGCCAGTAACATCAGAAATCCTTCCTGATGAAAGGTGCTAATCCAAAAAATACACATATACAGAAATTTTTATCAAAACACATGGGAAACACAGCTTTGCCTTTGATGGAGTCGTAAACGCGTCAGAACAAGGGTGCATGGTGACTGAAAGTGATTTCAGACTCCAAACTGGAAGTGACACAATCAGGGAATCAGGTGAGACACGCTACATACCAACTCCACTTGCTCTGATGCCACATTTGCAGTATTGATGGGCTTATTTTTTTACTATACTTGTGAGTGTAATATTAACTGAGGACGGATTTTAATAAAATTAATGATTGTAGTAATGCCTTATGGAAACCTCTCTTTTATCCTCTGAGTTCTAGTGATGCTAGGGTCGTTGGTTCGAATCCCAACCACGGCACCACCTGCCTGGAGTTTGCATGTTCTCCCCTGTGCCTGCGTGGGTTTCCTCCGGGTACTCCGGTTTCCTGCCACACTCCAAAGACATGCTGGTAGGTGAATTGGATCCTGTCTAAATTGGCCCTAGTATGTGTATGTACGAATGTGAGTTAGGGACCTTAGATTGTACACCCCCCTTGAGGGTTAGGGACTGATGTGAATGTACAATATATATGAAAAGTGCTGCGTAAATTGACGGCGCTATACAAGTACCTGAAATAAATAAAATAATGCTGAGATGTACATCCATATATGACTACATGCTTTGAATTCACTTCTTGTGAGCGCAATGCTTTTATGACAAGTGGTTTAATGCTACACTTAGCTGGCGCTTGTCTCTCCACCTTTTCTTTTAGAGTTGCTTCTTAATCTTGGGATTGAGCTGCTGCAGAAGTGAGCTTCCTTTCATATGGACTATATTGGACTTATACAAATGTTTATCAGTGGACTTTAAAACCCCATATTGTATTCCCTGGTTGTGCCAAATCATTTATTACTTTGCAATTAATCCTAATAGCAACTATTATAGCAGAAGTCTATTTAAAAAAATAAAGTTTGCTTCCTTACATCAGTCTCCAGGAAAGAGGGACAGTGAGCAGCGCAGCAGTAAAATCACCAAATCTCACTTCAGTCTCGAGCTTGCTGTGAGAGGCAGCAGTGCCTTAGATCTCACACTACAGGATATACAGATATGAGGCTGTATGTATACAGTGGGGATCGAAAGTTTGGGCACCCCAGCTAAAAAAAGTTGTATTAATGTGCATAAAGAAGCCAAGGAAAGATGGAAAAAATCTCCACAAGGCATCAAATTACAGATTAGACATTCTTATATGATGTCAACAAAAGTTAGATTTTATTTCCATCATTTACACTTTCAAAATAACAGAAAACAAAAAAATGGTGTCTGCAAAAGTTTGGGCACCCTGCAGAATTTATAGCATGCATTGCCCCCTTTGCAAAGCTGAGACCTGCCAGTGTCATGGATTGTTTTCAATCATCGTCTGGGAAGACCAGGTGATGTCAATCTCAAAGGTTTTAAATGCCCCAGACTCATCTGACCTTGCCCAACAATCAGCACCATGGGTTCTTCTAAGCAGTTGTCTAGAAAACTGAAACTGAAAATAGTTGACGCTCACAAAAGCTGGAGAAGGCTATAAGAAGATAGCAAAGCGTTTTCAGATGTCAGTATCCTCTGTTCGGAATGTAATTAAGAAATGGCAGTCATCAGGAACAGTGGAAGTTAAAGCAACATCTGGAAGACCAAGAAAAATATCAGACAGAACAGCTCGCAGGATTGTGAGAAAAAACAATTCAAAACCCATGTTTGACTGCACGATCCCTCCAGAAAGATCTGGCAGACACTGGAGTTGTGGTACACTATTCCACTATAAAGAGATACTTGTACAAATATGGTCTTCATGGAAGAGTCATCAGAAGAAAACCTCTTCTACGTCCTCACCACAAAAATCATCGTTTGAACTTTGCAAATGAACATTAAGACAAGCCTGATGCATTTTGGAAACAAGTTCTGTGGACCGATGAGGTTAAAATTGAACTTTTTGGCCGGAATGAGCAAAGGTACGTTTGGAGAAGAAGGGGCACAGAATTTAATGAAAAGAACCTCTGTACAACTGTTAAGCATGGGGTTGGATCAATCATGCTTTGGGGTTGTGTTGCAGCCAGTGGCACAGGGAACATCTCACGAGTAGAAGGAAAAATGGATTCAATAAAATTTCAGCAAATTTTGGATGGTAACTTGATGCCATCTGTGAAAAAGCTGAAGTTAAAGAGAGTTGGCTTCTACAAATGGATAATGATCCTAAACACACCTCGAAATCCACGGGGGATTACATCAAGAGGCATAAACTGAAGGTTTTGCCATGGCCTTCACAATCTCCTGACCTCAACATAATTAAAAATCTATGGATAGACTGTCAAGGTCCTACCTTTTCCCTGAGGTTATGTTACTCCATGTGCTGGCGTCCATCTTGGATTCTGCTGTGCATGATGGGAATCCTTTTATGCCTTCAGGTTTCTGTGGTCCATCCCCAGAGGGGTGTGGCTGATGACATATAAGCCTGTGGCCCGCACATGCTCTTTGCACTTGTGTGTCTTGTGTCTTTGTGTTGCTATTACTCTGTTCTGACTCTCGTGACTCTCCTGGTATCTGATTCGGCTTGTGACTTGACTATTCTTTGTATTCTCCTTTGATCTGACCCTCTGTTGCTGAACCCGGCTCGTGACCTGTGATTCTCGTCTGCTGTCCTGTACTGTTTTGTCCTGTTGTTGTTGACCCCGGTTGTCTGACTACTCTTTTGTCTCTTCCACCAGCTACACGCCATTGGCGGCGGCCATTACCGCAGCTGAGGTGTCTCTGGGGCCGCGACCTGGTTCCTGGCTGCGTCAAGTCCATCCCCACCATCAGGGGCCCTGGTAAAGGGCAGCCTGGGACTTAGACTCCGCGCCCTGAGGGACTTCGGTCTGTGGGTGGTGGTTGTCGTCAGCCAGTGCGTTACATTGTTAGGCCTGCCTGTCCGTTCCTCAGCTCCTGCCCTGACATTACACAAGTGCCATGAACCCTGACGGTGCAGGCACGCCTTCGCTCCCAATGCTAGTCGCCAGACTCGATCAACAGGATCACCTGTTGGATCAGTTCGCTCAGGCGTTGCAAACTCTGCTTGCACGCACTGCACACCTTGCTCCTGGTGCTATTAGGCTGGTAGTCGCTCCGGTGGTCTCTCCCGCTGCTTCTCCGCCTATTGCGTCCACCACCTCGACGGCTGCATCAGCGGCGCCCAGAGGTATGACTGGTTCTGCCCCTCTTCCACAGCGCTTTGGGGGTGAGCTGATTCAGTGTCGTGGGTTCCTCAACCAGGTGGGTATTTATTTTGAATTAATACCCCACGCTTTTCCGTCTGAGAGGTCAAAGGTGGGGTTCCTAATTTCACTACTCTCAGACAAGGTCTTGGCCTGGGCAAATCCCTTATGGGAGAGGAACGACCCGGTGATTCAAAGATTTTCCGGTTTTGTCGATGCCTTCCATAGGGTATTCGACGTACCGGCTCGTTCCGCCTTGGCGGCCAAGCTGCTCATGACCATGCATCAGGGTTCACGGACCGTGGCCGAGTACGCTATAGAGTTTCGTACCCTGGCGGCAGAGGTCGGTTGGAACAATGAGGCTCTGGTGGCTGCGTTTTCCCATGGTCTTTCTGACACATTGAAGGACGAGATTGCAGCTAAGGAACTGCCTGTGGTGTTGGAGGAGCTCATCACTTTTCCTGATCCTGATTGACACCAGGCTCAGGGAGAGGCCTTCACTCAAGGAACGCCTGTGGAGGCCTTCCAATCGACTGGCACCTGCGTTTTCTGTCCCACCCGTTCCTCCCTCTCCTCCCACGCCTCCTGGGGATAGCTTGTCTGGTGGGGAACCCATGAAGCTGGGGTTTGCTCGCCTTTCCGAGGGGGAGCGGGCCGCTCGGCGTTGGGAGGGTCGCTGCCTGTACTGTGGCCTCGGTGGGCACTTTCGGCAGTCTTGTTCGGTCCGTCCGGGAAACGCTCGCAC